CCTGGTGCCCGCGCTGCGCGCCCTGCTCTACTGGTCCCTGGTGTACGGCTACTGCGGGCTGTGCGCCTCCGTCCACCTGCTCAAACTTTTGTGGAGCATCGGCAGGGCACCCGCGCAGACCTTCCGCCGGGCCGCCCGGGCCAACCCTCCGGCGTGCCTGAACGACCCCTCCTTGGGGACCCACTGCTACGTGCGGATCAAGGTGAAGGCCGGCGCGCGCCTGGAGCGAGGGGAGGGAGCGTGACGCGGGTGGGGGCCGTAGGAGCGGCGGGCGCCGAGGGCGCCGGACGCACTGTGGGCTCCGGGAGGCAGGAGGGACAGGGCTGGGAGCTGGACAGGGGCTCAGTTTATGTCTGTCTGCTTTCTCCTTTTCTCGTCTGTGGGGTGGAGGGTGGGGGGGGGGAGACTATTTCCATGTGGAATTTCTCTAACCGGATCCTCCTTCTGCCAGAGCAACTCTAATAATTCTACCCCCTTTCCTACTGCAAGGAGAAGCCGTCTCCGGTCACCCTTTCTGCCTTTTAGGGCTCGGATCAGCTGCAGAACAATGCTCCTGCTGTCGTAGGCTTTTTGAGATGGAGCGAATGGACAGTTCTTTGGAAAGTCATTTCTGATTTCAGATGACCTAGGCAGCCCTAAACAGTTAAGAAATGGTGTGTGTTTGTGAGGAATGCCCATGTGAGCAGTCAGGGACCAGAGTAATGGAATAAAAAGTAGGTGTCCACTTCTCCCTGGTAAAGCTTCGTTCGCTCTGCTTAGAAAAGGTGTCAACCATACAAACAGATATCCATTGTCAATGCTTGTCCCAACTTCTGTCACAGCCCACAGACATTCTATTTCCTGACGCCAGGTGGTAGAGTGAAATAGTCTCTGTGATACGCCCTACAGTCTGACTCAGGAGCCTTTCAAAGGCAACGTACGAGGAGATATTTATGTTACTGAGCCCTGACTCTCTACCCCAGCAACTGGGGTTCAGAAAGGCAGGAGGAGTCTGAAAAAGATGTAAGAATTAAGTGCGTTCATGTTTGGAAAAAAAAAAACAAAAAACAAGAAAACAAAACAGAAAAATGAACCTAAGTTCAACAGACTTAGAACTTAGTATAATTCATTATTATAATTATTGACCTGGCATATACCCAGTAAAATAAAGTATTTATTAAATCCAGCCCAGCAGCCATAGCATTTCATTCTACAAGACCACTAAAACAATTTTTAAAAGGTAACAGCAAGTTCACATTTGTTATCTGTCTAACTTATGGACAAAATGCAGCCTGTGGGTCATTGTGGGGTTCCTCAGAATGCCTTCCTTTTTCCCAGAAGCAGAACTAAGATATAGACACAGTGGTGATTCTAGTCCCCTAGTTATACATTCCTCTCTACTTCTATTGATTTAGTGATGTTGGGACCAGCCCAAGGCCTTGGTCATGCCAGGTAAATGCCACTCCGCCACTGAGCTATAGCCTCAGCCCTCCAGCCCTCCCAACTACCTTTGTGACTTATGTGACTTGTTTGGGCCTCATTTGGGGGAGGGGATTGCGGCACTGGGACCCTAAGCCAGGGTCTTGAAAAGCAAACACTGGGCCGCTGCAGCACAGCCTCAGCCCCTGGGCCTCATTTTCTAAACCTGTAACGTGATAGAGTTGAATGAAATGACCTGCCAGACTCTTTCACATCAAAGCCCAGGGTCCACGCTCAGCTTTTGACCTCTACTATCGTTCATACTTTCGGGATTTTGCTTTTCTTCTTTTCTATTTTTCTGTTTCCTTGGCGTTTGCTGTATTCTTCTCTTGTTCCCATTCCTTATCTTTTCCTCAGTCCAGCTTATCTTCCACGTGCACAGTGATGTCTTGGGCACTTGGTATATCCCACTGTTAGAAGCACACACAGGAGGAACAGGAAGCCAGGGGACCATATATGAAACACTCAAGATAATAGTGTGGGAAGGAGATACCTAAAAATAAGAGAAGAGGGTGTGAGTTACATAACTGATGATTCTCTTCTGACGGGCGAGCTGAGCAGAGTACCCGAGACAGACTTAGCAAAACTGAGATTCAGATCAGAATTATTTACATATCCTGAAGGAGATGAAGCGTGACGCCTCACGAAGATGAAGGCCACATTGTGACGTTGCTTCAGAAGTTCAAACGCATACATTGACCTTGTAGTAGAACAAAGAGGGGTTTTCTAAAGGAAATGCCCCAAAAGGCGAATGGGCCCATTTATCCTATTGATAACTCACGCTGTTAAATTAATATTTATTTCTTAATGCTAAGATAATTTAAGTGAGTGTTTTTGGCTAAATGGAAATTCTAAGTGTCGTAGTCTGATGGTGCTCATTATCAGGTTATCCGTTCTTCCCACTTTCAGGATTCGGGGCTAAGATTCCACTACGTCGCTGCAGGAGAAAGGGGCAGACCACTCATGCTGCTGCTTCACGGATTTCCAGAATTCTGGTAAACTTACCAACTAACTTTTATCTTTTGCATTAACACTTAACATCCTGGCTTAGTCCATTTGGTGCGGCTGTAAAAGAATATGTTATTTTTTTCTTGGGTCTGGAGGCTGGGAGGTCCAAAATCAAGGCACACAAGCTGGTGGGAGCTGCCGTATGCTGGGTCATCACATGACAGGGGTGGAAAGGGAAGAAAGCAAAGGAGGGTAAATCTGTGCTTAACCCATGAGGTCAGGACCGCTCAAAGTGTCCTAGTCACGCCTAACGAGTCCTACTCTTGACGCAGTTAAATGTCCTCGTGAGTTTTGCAAGGGCAAACATTCTAACTGTAGAACCCACTGTAGACTCTCCTGTAAGGACACATCATCTCCCAGACTGATTACTCCTGAATGTTCCTGAAGTTGCAGCAATGGTTTCCCTCCTAATCTAAAAACATTCATACACATGACCATCCTAATTTTTTTGAGACAGTGTGTAGCCCAGGCTAGCCTTAAACTCAACCCCCTTCTGTTTCAGCCTCTCAGCTGCTACGTTTACAGGTGTTCACTGCCACCCCAGCTCTGCCTCTCCCTCCAAAGATTAAACACGTCTTCTAATGTTTCAAGTTATAAAACATTTTCTGCAGAGTAACTGCTGTGAATAAAATAACATACAACCAGGGCAAGGGAAGAAGATCTGAGCAAACCACGGCCTCGAAGTACTTGGCAGGAAGCTTTTGGCTTGTTGAGAAGGCAGAGGGAAGACATGGCCACAGTGGCATATGAACGCAGACTCTATTAGAGACCTAAATGTTTTAAAGTAAAAAAAAAAAAAGCCTATAGCTAAAAATTTATAGTGGTTAGTATTCTAGTCTATTTGTTGATTAAAATAAATATTTGTGTGGTTAGAATAAAATACCAGAACAGAAATTTACTTCCCACAGTTCTAGAGGCCAAGATGTTCAAGCTTAAGTCCTTGGGAGATTCAGTGTCTGGTAAGGGCCCCGTCCCTTTTCCCAAAATGCGGTCTGGTTGCTTTGTCCTAAAGGGACTGATGTCCTCTCCCATGTGGTAGAAAGATAGAAGAAAAGGGGAGGGGCTAGTTAATTCTCCTGAGCGCTTCACTGGGTTGAGTTGTTAATATCATATATGAGGACTCTAACCTCGTGACTTAATCCCTCTCTAAAAGACTTTCTCTTAATACTGTTGTGGTGGTTTGAAAGAAAATGACCTGCAAAGGGGAAGTGTGTCCCTGTGGGGCGGGGTCTGAGGTTCCTTCCGCTCAAGCTTCCCTCAGCATGGCTGTCAGCGACTTTCTGTTGCCTGCAAGTCAAGATGTAGCGCACTCTCAGTTCTGCACACCACCATGCTCCCCATCATGATGATAATGGATGGAACCTCTGAAACCGTAAGCCAGCCACCCCAATTAAGTGTTTTCTTTCTAAGAGTTGCTGTGGTCATGGTGTCTCTTCGCAGCAATGAAAGCCCAAACTATGACAACTGTCGTTTTGACAAATTGTTTCAGGGTATGAATTCAGTATTTGCATAGGCAATAGCAGTGGTAGAAGGATATTTCCTGTTCTCTAATGATCCCAAAGCACCCAAATAAAAATGCATGAAAGTAACAGCCAATTGAGAAAAATTAGCATATTTAAAAGAAATAGAAGAGGCTAGGGTGAGAAGAAAGTCCTTTTTGCCAGCAGAGGGGTATGACCTTCAGGTGGTTCATGAGCTAAATAGGTTAGGGAGTGGATAAAAATGTTGTTCTCTGGGTTGACTCAAAAGTAGAATATTGGCTAACATTTATTTGAAAGGCCAAGATCTCTCTCTCTTAGTGTCTCATGGTGTCAGGAATTCTACCATTGCAAATTCTTCGCATTCTTTAGAGCCTTAAAGATTTGTGTCCTGATTTAAAAGCAGCTCTGAGAGCTTATGCAGAGGTTCTAGCAGGGATGCTCAGCTTCCCACATACTACTGATCAGAGAGAGGTCCTCCTCCATTAGGGAGGTTCAGGATGCTTCACACAGCTCGGTGAGGGAGAAAGCAGGTGCCCCACCTAGCCACACTGGTGATAATGGGGTGACACATTATCACAGCCAGATTGCTCTTGCAACCTAACATGCATCTAGCTCTAGGAATATTGCCTTTAGACAATTTAGCCATTATTTTATAAAAGAAAGGGAGTCTATGGACAAGTGCATTGAAAATGTTAGTGTCCTAGAAAGTATTGGCATGGAAGAAAAGAATTCGGGGTGGCAAAGTGCTGCCCATTACCTAATTTCTGTCGGTGTCTTCCCGAGGAGACTTTCATGCTTGAAGATCTCCACTCTGGGTTTAGCTGCATGGATAAACATTGTCATCTGTTCTTCCATCTGGAGACAACCTAAAAAAGAAAGAGAAAAACTCCGAGTACAATTTGAGACATGTATAGGGACTCACCTCCTGGAGCGCATGACATGGCTATTTACTGTTATACATTATTCTGAATGGTTAATCAAATTTGCCCAGAGAGGAAAGGCAGGGAGTCCACTTGCGGTCACAGGAATGTCCTGGCTGGGTTTTGTTATCACTCAAAGAGGGAACCTCGAGTGAAGAGTTGTTCAGATCAGACTGGCCTGGGGCATGTCTACGAGAGATTTTCTTGACTGATAATTGAGATAGGAGGCCCCAGCCCACTATGGGCAGCGCCATGACTAGGCAGATGGGCCTGGACTTGATAAGAAAGCTGTCCTGAGTATAAGAGAAGGAGGAGTCTTCCTCCAAGGTTTCTGCTTCAGTTCCTGCCCTGACTTCCCTCAGTGACAGACTGTTACTGAGACTGTAAAGTAAAATAGACCTTTTCCTTCCCAAATTGCTTATAGTCGGAATGTTTTATCATGGTAACTGAAAAGCAAAATAGAACGGGGACCCTAGATATCACTCATAATATTCTTGCAGAGGTGTTGTGAGGATAGAATCAAAGCATGTGAAAACCCCTTCACGTGGCCCCAGCAAATACTCCAAATCTGTTCGTTTGGGGGCTGGGAAGATGGCTGAGTGGGTAAAGCATCTACCGCCACATGTGAGGACCAGGGGATCCAACGTCCGCTTCCGGTCTCTGCAGACACAGATGCACATACACAAAAGTAAAGAAAACACACAGTAGTTATTAAAGCCCAGAGTGCCATACAGTCTAATGTACTCTCCAGATTTATCGTTGTTTCTGGAGACTGTTGAGAAGGGACAACCTACCAAAAAAAAAAAAAAAAA